GTAATGCTAGGGAAGGTGAAGGTGATGAGGAAGATGATGGGCTAACACCTAAGATTGTTCTAGGAGGAATGATGTCAGTATATGGGATGGATGTACAGTCCCTATCTTATGAATTTGGGGTGTTCGTGACTGTGCTAACTGTACTAATAAACTGTTTTTGTAAATATACAAGAGCTGCTACAGTGTGAGTGTTGTAACTGTGCACATCTGGGTTCCCAACTGCAGAATAATTGAATACCCGGCCTGATCCTGGGACAAAGAACCTGTCACCCCTAAGGAGGTAATTAGAAATTGATACATAGTCTTAAATCAGGCAACACTTGTCTCCCCCAAAATCATTTCTTGGGGGGTTGGCTTTGCATACATCCGGCTGCTGGGATAAGGGCAGGTCTATGGGTTTCGGCCTCACCACATCAGGGGCCTCCATGTTTCTCTTAGGGTAGAGAGAGGGAGAAGCTGTGTGTGTGTGTGTGGTAGGGGGGATATGAGGGGAGAGGCCTCTCTGGAGGCCTTTGATGCTCCTGGGGCTGCACATCTGAAGAAGCGGGTTGTGCCCACTAAAGCTCATGATACCATCAATGTTTTTTGTTAGTTTCCAAGGTGCTGCAGAACCATTCATTCTTTTTAAGTTACAGGTCTGTATTCGAATGTCAAAGAAAGAGGGCAGGACACACAATCATTCAGTACAGACCTAGGAGGTACAGTCACACCCTTTGATGCCATGTGTTTAGAACAGAGACATGAGGGACACACCAACGGTACTAGAGAAACAAGATGTAAAGACCTAGATTAAACCTAGTCTCAGACGACATACACAGCACCTTGCACCTACAAACTGGCACTAGGGGTGTAACTTGGGGAGCCACCTTTTGTGTCAGGGGAGCATAACAAGGCTGCACGAGGGGCTTCCCAGAGACTCGTGTCATATGGAACCTTTCCCCTGAGCTGTGCTATTGTTGGCTTAGAGCGATAAACCTGCCTGACACTGGCTATTTGGGCTCTAGAATAACATTTCAGAATAAGCCAGAGTGTGGCCAAGTTTACATTTTATTCACAGAAACAGAGACCTCGTTCCTTAGCCCTTGTCCACCCAGCCACCGCAATTCACTGGGATTATACACGTCACAGCAGCCCCTGGACAGCAGCCCAGGCCAGGCCCCTCTGCGCTGGGTGCTGCACTGACACAAATGGTTTGTCTTCCTGGGAAACTGACCCGCAGAACCATGAGCAGTGGCTGAACCCCTGGGCTAGGGAAGCAGCCCCAGGCAGATGGTACAGCCTCAGCTTCCCCCAGCGCACCAGGCCCCAACCTATCTGGGCCGCACCACCAGGCCACTCTTCTCTGCACAAAATTCTTCTTCCTTACCCCCAAGCCGAGTCATCAGTCCCAGCGCTGGGCAGCCGGAGCAGCCCCAGGGATACATGATGGGGTCAAGAGGGAACCCAGAGGTAGAATATGGGTGAGGCCGCCGCAGGCAGTTTGACAAGGTGACATTTTCCTGTGTCTATGACAAACGCTGCCCATGAGCAAAACTCTGCTTGTCTAGCTAAACCATTGCAGCTCTCCTGGGATAACTGCCATGTGGCAACACTCTCATTCCAGTGTACGTGGGGCATTTTTTCATGGTGAAAATGCTGTAAATTAACTCAGACCCAGGCTCTCTAATTCCGGAATAGAGGTGTCCCCACAGGGAGTTATCTTGTGATAACTGCAGTGGTTATTTAATGTCATTCTGCTGGTCAATTTTTTTGTGTAGACAAACCCATAGGGAGAGACAGTTCCTGGCCATAAGAGTTCACAGTCTAAGGGAGAATTTTCAAAAGTACCTAAAGGATTTAGGAGCACCAGGCAGTGGGCACAGAGCCCGGTCACACACTTGGGCTCCTAAAACCCTGAGGGCATGTCTACACTACAAAGTTAAGTCGAACTAACAGACGTTAGTTCGAATTAACTTTGATAGGCGCTACACATACAAACCGCTAGTTCGAACTTAATTCAAACTAGCGGAGCGCTTAATTCGAACTAGGTAAACCTCATTCCACGAGGACTAACATCTACTTCAAATTAAGTAGTCCGAATTAAGGGCTGTGTAGCCACTTAATTCGAACTAGTGGGAGGCTAGCCTTGCCCTGGTGGCCACTCTGGGCACCACCAGGGAAACTCGTCTGCCCCCCTCCCGGCCCCGGAGACCTTAAAGGGGCACAGTCTGGCTACGGTGCCCGTGCCAGGTGCAAGCCTGCCAGCACCCAGCCAGCAGACCCTGCACCGGGCCCGGCACGTGCCAGCCTGGCCACCAAAGGCCACATGCGAACCCAGGAGCAGGTTTGCATGAAAATGAAGGTGGTCGAGTGAGACCCCCGATCCTGAGCCCTGATCTTAGAACATAAAAACATAAGAATGGCCATACTGGGTCAGAGCAAAGGTCCATCTAGCCCAGTAGCCTGTCTGCCGACAGCG